ACACACACACACACACACACACACACACACACACACATCTCTACTGTCATGCATTCCACAAAGAAGTTCAAGTTAAGAGCATATTGTATTTAGATCTTACTGTTACTGAAAACCCCTACTGTAACCATAAACGTGCTCATATCTACAAGATTATTTTTGCTCCAAAGCAGAATTTGGCAAACATTTTCTCTAAAGGCCAGGCAGTAAATATTTCAGTCTTCTCGGGCCTAAAATGTAAGGTCTCTGTTAACATATTCTTTGCTTTTCTTTTGTATTTTCCTACCTTTTAAAAATGTAACAAACCATCTTAGCTGAGGCTGTACAGAATGGTCTGTAGGTCCATGGCTTACTTACCAGCCCATATTCTACTGGTAGAAGTCCAGGTAGGATTATCATTAAAATCAAAGCCAGAGCTTCCGTCATTAAGTTTATGATACAGAGACTCTCTGGAGAGGAATGGGAGTTATAATTTATACCAGCACTGTGACAGCCAGCCTCAGAGATGGTCCCCGATGGTCCTTCTCAGGCATGCTCAGTTTTGTGTGGTTCCCTCCCACACAGTACCAGGGTCAACATGTATCATGTGACCAACAAGACACAGTGAAAGTGACAAAAGACAGCAGCTTTCACCTCTCCTGACCTCCCTCACGCTCGTATCATGAAGAAGGCTACCATATGGTAGAGACACACAGACGATCTGGAAAGGCCTCCACGATAAGGAACTGAAGCTTTCGGCCAATAGCCAGCAAGGCATGGAACAACCTCATGAGTAAGCTTGAAGGCAGATCTACCCCAGCTTAGCCTCTAGGTGACTGCAGCCCTGGCAGCCCTTGACAGGAGGCTTCAAGAAACCTGAAGCCATGGAAACCCAGCTCCACTACTCTTGAACTCTGGAGCCACAGAAATGAATGATAACAAATACATGTTGTTTGAACTGCTAACTCTAGGCTAACTTATTACACAACTATAGCTTGCCAGTACAAACACATCACACAGTTGGACCACACAATGGTACTTACCTCCACGGGATAAATAAAAGTCTGTGCAGTTGCTCCAGCCATGGATCCAGAAATAAATCTCTCAAAGGTTCCTATTTTTTGTCCTTCCTCAGTAAGCAACTTCTTGTACTGTATAAATAAATTTTGAAATGCACATTAACAGCTGCTAAGACTCCCAAATACATTGAATCTTAACCGTGTTGATTTAGGAGATGGGGCCTTTGAGTAATTATGGTTAGATAGGTTGTAAGGATGGAGCCCTCAGGAGAGAACCAACATCCTCATGAGAGGAGACATTCGAGGGCTTACCCTCCACTGAATCATGCACCAAGGCCATCTGACAATAGAGTGAGAAGCCAGGAAGAGAGTCCTTACTAGAGACCCAATTGACAGCCCCTTCATCTAATATTCTTCTACTTCTGGAACTGTGAGAAATAAACTTTACTTGTTTTTAACACATAGTTTTTTTTAACTACACAGTTGGTGGTATTTAATATGGCTGCCCAAGGTAACTAAAATAATGACAAAATGGGTGGAGAGATGGCTCAGCAATTAAGAGCACTGGCTGCTCTTGCAGAGCACCAGGGTTTGATTCCCAGCACCCACATGGAGGCTGACAACCATCTGTAGGTCCAGTTTCAGGAGAATCTGATGCCCTCTTCTGAACTCTGCAGGCATTGCATGACATGGGTGTATTTACACACATGCAGGCAATATTCTCTCTCATACACATAAAATAAAAATAATAAATATTTTTTTAAAAAAGGTCATGACAAAATACAAATCAGATCCTAAAAATCAATTCATTTATAGTATGATAAGTCGCCTCAGAATACATCCCCTACATTAACAACCTTAGCATAAAAGCAGGGCGTAAATGCTATTGACTTTGTTTCCTATGTGCTGGTTTTCAAATTAGATTTCCACCAGGCTAGGAATATAGCTCTGTAGTAAAGCATGTGCCTAACACATGTAACGTCTTGAACTCCAATCCCAGCACCAAAAAGAAAGAGAGAACGAGTCCAGATTTCCACAGAACATAGACATTCCACAGGCTGGACCAAGCTGTCCCTTTGCCAAAACACAATTTCCCTAATGCACAGGAAAAAAGTGGAATCTATAGTTTTCATAATTTAAGTATCTTCCCATATTTTCTTTTTAAAAATGAATTTCCTTTCACAAATACATGTAACTATATGACAAATATTAGCAAAACAACTTAGAAAATACTTTTCATAGATATACAGTAAATTATACTAATGTGCCCACCCCAATACCTCTCTGGGTGGCCACCAGTATAAAGCAACCCAACAGAGCTGATTAGACTAAGGTACAACTATGAAAATGAAGGCCCAAAACGAACCAGGTAGACCCAGGGTGGAACCACCCAGCCGCGTGGCTCTGAGCAAGTTCATGATCATATTCAAGTTGCACTATCCCTGGTCTAGGACAGCACTGCCTATGTCACATGGCTGTTGATAGGATCAAATCAAATAATATGCACAGTACAATTTATCACTGTGCTAGGCACACAGCAAATGTCCACTAGTTATTATTATTACTACTAATATATTGTGTTCTTACATTGTGAAAAAAAAGAACAAAAACACTCTGGCCTGAACAAAGACTGTGGCCAGGCAAACAAGATCCCTTCTCTCAAGAGTGTGCTATGACTCCAGAGAGGTAGTCAGTCAATGGCAGCAAAGAAGCCAGTAAGAGCAGAGACACATGTGGAGAGGAGAGGGCAGGGGGGCAGGGGTCTAGCTGCTGGGCTTCTTGAAGGATCCTTCCCTTGGAGCCACGTGCCCCGCCCCTTCAGTGACCCTCATTGCTAAGCCAGCCAGTTGCTGTCCCTTGGGATCCGAATTACCCAATGACTACAACACAGGATGGCTCATCCTAGCAAAGGGGTATTTCCCTGTTCATGATAAAAATCAAATATGCTAGTATTTCATGAAGTTCCTCAAATAATAGACATTCTTCCATAAAAGGCACTTCCAAAGGTTCTGTTTCCTGAAAAGCCAGAATGCTACATAACATACAGTTGCCCCTCTGCAAGGGTCCTAGTAATTGTCCTGTCAGGTTGCCATAATTATTAAAGGGAGTTTGTTTAAAACCTTCATGCAATGCCAACAATGGTGAAGCACAACACACAGCGCTTGAGAGGCAGAGACAGAGAATCACAAGTTCAAGGCCAGACTAAGCTACGTAATGAGGTACTGTCAAGAAGGAAGGGAGGGGACGGGGGAAGGAGGGAGGAAGAGAGGGAGGGAGGGATGAATGTATGAACAAACTTATTTTTCATGAATATAAAATGAAATATGTAGCCGGTTATGGTGGTACATGCCTTTGATCCCAGCACTTGGGAGGGAGAGGCAGGCAGATCTCTGTGAGTTCGAGGCCAGCCTGGTCTACATAGTGAGTTCCAGGACAGCTGGGGCTACAGGGAGACCCTGTCTCAAAAAAGACTTTAAAAAAAAGGAACGATGAAAGCATTATTCACTTCTTGTAGCCCCTGTACACATTTACAGCATCTCTTAAAAACAGTAAACATTTATTAATTAGTGAATAATAAATAAATTCATGTTTGGAGCTCCTGGGGCTCCAAACCTGCTCTCCATAGAAAGCAGAGTTGAGAACAGACAACCTGTGAAGAGTCTGACACTGTACCAGGCACTTGACATAAGGACAACAAACTTAGCACTCATGTTAGAGATGTTAGAGATGAGGTATCAGCCAGATTTTAAATAGCTGACCAAGGCTACAGAATCTGACTTTCCTAAAGGAGACCTTCCCGGACTTTCAAAGCCTCCCTCAGAGTCTTTCTGTCCATCTCCCTTCTCCCTCCCAACATTCGTGAGAACCCTCTCTTCACTGGAATGCATCCTTCTTCCTTAACACCACTCTGTCCCTCCCTCTTAGGAAAGGCCACCACTCTTAAAAACTCAGGGAGAAATAAAGACCAGTAAGTAAGAACACCTTGCTATTCCTGCCTACGCCACAAAAACCTCCCCACGGCTGTTTATGCCCTCTTTCTCCCGAAGTTGGTAAAGAGTATTCTTGTAAGCCAAAGGGAGCTTCTAATGGTCTCTAGATAGAATTTATTTCTCCTTCAGCCCCTTCCCACCCCTCCACCCCACCCTCACTTCCTCTGAACACCTGCTGCATCTATTAGCCTCTCCACCTGCAGGTTACCTGTTCCCTTGTCCTGCCATGCTTCCTTCAGCAACAGTAGCACTGAATCAAAGCTCTCTCCATCTCGAACCCATCACCTTCCCCCTCTTCCTTTCACCATCATAATCCCAGAGAACGATGTCAAAGTGGTTCAGTTCTTCAGTGTCTTCACATGTGAATCACTTTTAGCTTGTTTTGGTACGGTTCATCATCTCTTCATTTCACTACAGCATTTATAGTAGTTTACTTATCTTTGAATTGGCAAATCTTACCATCAGCATATGACCCTTTGTGAAACCCTTCTCTTTCCTAGAGTCTCTCTTCCTCTGTCTGCCACCTCCTCCTCTTCTTCTTCCTCTCTCTCTCTCTCTCTCTGAACATCCTCCTGTCCCTTTGGCTTTTGCTTTACATCCCCACAGATACTCAACTGAGACTCAAAGTCATACTCAACTCATCCAACATGGACCCTGACACTGCAGTCTCTGTGTAAAGCTGCTTAATTGGGTCATCACCGTCATCCTTGGTTCATCTCTTTCTGACCTCCCTGCCCAA